GGAAAAAGTGAGGGATGTGGGGGGGGGGCACACAAATATCTAGTTAAAAATAGCTTTATGAATATACAGTAATACAAATAAAGATATACAAATAAAACAAAGCAGAAACAAAACCAAAAAAAAAGAAATATCGTTCCTTATTTATTTCCGTTGTATAGTACAATAAAAGAGTTATTTCTTATAGTAAACAAATATACCATGCACTGAGAGGCTCTATAGTTCAAATTATGGATCGAGGTGGCAGGAAAAGCACTATTTCTATCTCCGAGGAATCAATAATTTCACTATAGTACTAGCTGCAACTACTAAAACAATTGAGGGTGGATATAGTTATTACAGAGCTGATATGAATTTGAAAACGAAATACAATGTATGATACAAACTTTTTATCAAATTCAAGAAACTGTCAATCAGAAAATATCAAGGACATTTTAAAGTCGAAACAAAAACAAAAATGTGATGAAATGGAAAGCGGTCTTCCGTACCAGTAAATGTATATTAGACACCGAGACACTCATGATCAAGGCCGGGAAAACATCTGACATGGTGAACTTTGAGAAAAAGTGCAAAATGACTCGATACAGCAGACAAACAAAGTCCATGCATCCGGACTCATGAATTATTCATCAGCTTGTTGGTGTCCTTGGTATGGTTTCACGAGACGGTCGCAAGCACAAGTTCGCCGACATCCCATTGAAGGCGCGTTTCTATGATTGTGATGTTGGTGACTTTGTACCCAGGACGGTTTTGTGTAACCAGTGAGTAACGAAGCCACGGATTTTACCGTCGAGTAAAATAGTGCAGGCCTTGTTATTAAAGTAGGTTTTGCTGTCATGGAATCTGTTATAGTCCTTAGTAGAAAGCTTCTTTACAAACTGGTATACATTACGAAATCCACTGACTTGATGAGAAAGCCAAATTTGTCCAAATTGTTTGGAATTTATTCCGAATTTCCGTTCTGCCCGCCTCTCGGAGACTGAACAAAAACGGACAGGGTTGAGGTAGGGGTCACCCGGTCAGTCTTAGGGGGGTAGTGATAGATTGGATGTTCCGCCCTGGACGATGGGCAGTGCTTGAATGGTGATAGATAGGGGAGCGATTGGGAGAGGGAGAGAGAGAGAGGGGGGGGGGATATATATGGAGGAAAAATCACATCTCCCTCCTCATTACTAGATCTGGATTTACTCAGCTCTTAAGACGGAATACCACCTTTAAGCAGAAAACCAAATGGCATATTGAAATGGCTTATGAAAATAATAAGGAACTACAGGGGGAACGTGAAAAAGGAATACAAAAAGGAGAAAGGCGAAAAAGAGAGAAAGGGAAATGGAAAGGAAGAAGGGGGACGAGAGCGGTATTACAAAACAAAATTTAAAAAAGCACTGACCACCTCCCATGCCTCCTGAACCATCTTCCTAATCGATAGCCCTGGTTGTAAATTTTCATTTCAGTTTCAGACAAAACCCGGTGCCCCCACCCCCGCCCCTCACGATGGGTGGAGTTGCGCTACGCCCCTGGACAAGAGCAACAACACCAAAGAAAGCACCTTCCTTGTCTCGCACACCCTTCAACATAGGCTTCTGTACTGGATTATGTCAGGTGATTGATTTGGCGGGAGCGCGTCGCGTGCCAAACTGTCAAAAATCATCATTGGTCGACTTTTCTGAAAGTGATCGTCATGATCGTCGTCTGCCCTAGCGTTTGGTGAGGCGAAAGGGTAGTCCGAACCCTCATAACAGATGAAGAATCAAGACACTTTAATAATACACGTTTGATAATTTTAGTATATTTCAAAGCAACTTCATTACGCACGGCGCATGCGCAGCTGTACAATATTAGTGTGACTCCTGGCCGGAAAAGACCTTTCCAGGTTTTTTAGCACAATAACTAGGCCTTCATTCTCAACAGACTGCAAACGGAATGCAGCTATGTACATGTATGAGACCCATAACTTCAAATGAGTGAATATAATATTATATGCCATATAATATGCACCGCAGCTTCCATCGACGTTTTCGGGTTTCAATATTTTGATTGTCACAGTTCATGATAATTTTAAATATTAAAAATATATAACGAAATTAGGTTCACGAAAACAAATTATGTCAAGTTGGGAGGAGTGATTGAAACAACTTCTGAAGCTACATGCCTTCGAAGACTGAAGTTGCAGAACCAAATTTGGCGCGCTTTCCCGCTGAAACCGCGCCAAATTATCGATCAGCTAATGCCTCACCCGAGCAGGACACAACACAAAATATCAATCTCTTAAATTAACACTGACGACTCTTACGAAGGATAAGCTTATAAATCAATCATGTACCTAAAAAAAGTAGATTAAGGAGTCTATGACTCGGGCGCGACGCAAAACCGATGAAAGAAGCAACTTTATTTTCAGCGCTACAATTTTATCGATTAGCCGTAAACCTTTCACAATAGCATGACAGGGCGTCGCGTGCGTTGTTTTGTTATCTTGAAAATTAGCTATCGGTGACTACGAAAGTACAATAGGAGCACGCGCCCAAATTGTTTAGGGAAAATAGGAGGCACGATGATACTATAATTGAAAATAGAATTGAGGTCTAGTCATAAGATTACATTTCAAACTGTACAGAGGCCATTAGGACAGGTTGATTCTGTACAATCATGAAGTAAGTACAATAGACCATTTCGTAGTTAGCTCATGGGTCAAATGGCCCCAAATATTCACAGATCTTTTACTCATGGAGAAGTCCCACTTTGTGTATTTTAATAATCAATGCCAAAGTCATATATGTGCTTCATGAAAAGCTTTTGTTTGCCCTCTTGTATCATAAGAATGTACCGTATAGGTGCACACATGAATAATGATTATATAACATGAGCACGTATTCCTGTCGATGGGTTTTACAATTTTATCAGAAATGACCTTTATCTGCCCATGCGCAGATAGTATTTACGAAAAGGGTGTACACTGCACATGTGTTTAATGGTATAATCATGGTCCATGGTGTAATCAAAATGATAGAATATCAACTCAGTCTTGCTAAACGTGATGATCCCAATCATGAACTGCACACATTATGTCTTAAAATAGGACTACATTACATTTTGTGGCATGGCAGTTTGAGAAAAACTTTGCAGCTATTTCCAGTCATGATATTATTTGAATATCTGAATATGAGGGCACTTGAAGAGAAATCCTTTTCAAGGGACGATTCTTCTATGTTTAATGGTATTTTACCAAACTGCACCAATAAAGAGAAATTTAACGCATCTTATTTTGACTTAACAACTATTGAAAGCTTCTCGTTTATTAAAATCAGCCCAGGCTAAACGTACCCGTTTAGTATTTGTTTTCACAATAGGCCTATACTTGCTGCCAAAGGGCGGCCAACCCAATCATACATTGGTGATGGACACACATTTATTCCCACTTTCATGAGCACCCACATTCTCAGAGGTAAACGATAATGGTAATGATAATTATACGTTTGCTACGAAATACCTGCTAGATGTTTTTGATTAAATATCGAGATAACCAATAAAACATATACATATATATCTTCGGACATGGTACATTATTTATATTACTATTACTATATGCATTATGTCAAATTATCACAAAAAGAAAAAAAGAGTGTTTCTGTTGGATATAATTTTCCTTCTGTTTTGCTATAAACACTGCATTGTAAATTGATTTATACGGTATATATGTTTACAAACAGAATTTTGATTTGTTACATTACATTGTAAATTGAATTATATGATATATATGTTTCTAAACAGAATATTGATTTGTTACATTACATTGTAAATTGATTTATATGTTTATAAACATAATATTGATGTACATCAATGAAGCTTAATGAATACAATGCAATACAATACATATAAATAATATGACTTATTTTGAGCGAGACTGCTCATCTTTCCTCAAATGACTTTACGAAACGCACTAAAAACAAAGAAATTTTACAAGATGTAAAGTGGCTCATTTCAACACAAAAACCGTATACAGAGACATGGCCATCAAAGGAAGTATAAACAACGACTAATTCCCGAGGATAACCAGGAAGGTCCGATGACATCTAAATATAAGTTAATTCCTGTTGATGTACAGGGCTGCATACAACTCAAATTTTGTTGTTCAATTTCATAGATTTTTAAATATTTAAAAACAATAATTCTCAGACCTGCTAAGCTCCACCCTACACTCTAAGAAAAAAGGGTGCAAAAAGGGTGCAAAATAAGAGTTTGCACCCTTTACGTAAAAATGAACCCTTTTGAAGAAAAAGGGGTTCAAAAAAGGGTGCAAAATAAGATTTTGCACCCTTCCCACAAAAATGAACCCTATCGACCAAAAAGGGTGCAAAATAAAAGTTTGCATATTGCATGCATATTCATGATTACTTTACACGTGTTCACATAAAAAAATACATTTATCATGATTTGTTAAACAAATTATGACAATGCACATCAATTTTGTGATTTGAATTTTCCTTCGGCAATCATTAAACAAATATATTATTTTGTCTGATCATGTTACAATTACATCCACGTTTTGGCAATAGATACATTGATTATATGATTACTAACCAATAAACAACATGCATGTTTAATATGTATTTGTGTACGAGCAAATATCACGAGTAATCCTCGAGTATGGGAGAAGGATTGCACATTTTAAAGGGTGCAGGACTGAACCCCTAAAGGTGCTGCCTTTGCATCGGTTTGCACCCCTAAAGGAGCAGGATTGAACCATTAAGGGTACTAACATGTCTCCTAAAAGGTGCAATCTGGCACCCTCCTTAAAGGGTGCAGGATTTAACCCCTAAAGGTGCTGCTATTGTTGCATCGGTTTGCACCCCTAAAGGTGCAGGATTGTACCATAAAGGGTACTAACATGTCCCCTAAAAGGTTCAATCTGGCACCCTTTTAAAGGGTGCAGGATTGCTATTGTTGCATCGGTTTGAACCCCTAAAGGTGCATAGTTGCACCATTTTTTCTTAGTGTGTAAATAGTTGCTCCAGATCACATTCATCTTGTGACATCATCTGTCACTCATAAATGAGCTAACAAGAGACAGTGTTATGACAACGCTGACCCCCTGTTCAAAATAGACCATACAATGTCAACATATGAGTTGCTATGTCAGGGGGGGGGGGTTACATACCACTGTCTCTTGAATTATAGCTCACTAAAGATGATGTCAAAAGATGAATGAGATCTGGAGCATTTTTTTTAGGATGGAGCTTAGCAGGTTAGAGAAAATTATCCACTAAAAAAAATATTGAAAAATCTATGAAATATATTTATATGTTTGAATTACAAAATATGAGTTGTATGCAGCCCTGCACATCAACAAGAATCAACTTATATTTGGATTTCACCCGACCTTAATTTGAAGGTTCAAATCTCACTAAAAATTATAGTCAGTGGTTTACAAACATTTTTTTTTACATTACATAAACATACATAAATACCACCAAGTTTTGTGAAATTGGTAATGTTCAACTGAGAAATCGAGAGGAAATTAACCGTTAAACATTAAACATTTGATATGTTGTTTATACTGCTTCTCCAAACACCTGGCAACACGTTCTAGATCTAAGATCACAGTCTACTGCATTTTCCAATTTTACATGATTTTGCAAAGGCATATATATTTAATTAATGTATATTATGTTATGATTACATATGTATTTTTAACTTTTGTTGACAATATATGTGTTTCTAGTTTATGTTCAAAAATGCAGAAATAAAATCAAATAAAGAACGCATTTACGGTTCCGGCTTTTACAGATAATTTAATTCATATTTTCTTGGCATTTATCTTGAAAGGGTTGGGTTTGTTGGTGAGGCCATGTTTGCCACTGTTGCTCGTCGGGGCACCCTCTGGCAAGGTAAGTGAGAAGTTCTGTAGAAGGTACGTCACGAATACGAATATTTCCATGCGAGCTAGCTGCTCCCCAGGGCACACTCTCTTACCTATATGGTTGGAGGGATGAGAAAAAACAAAAACAAAACAGAAACATAACTAATGTTAAAGCCCCACTGCACTACTTGTAGCTACTTGCGCCCTCTATATATCAAACAATGCCTAATCGGTGCCTGTTGGTCCCCCAGGATCCCCTTTTTCTCATGTTAATTGAGAGCTGATTCGATGAGATAACCACCCGTCAGTGACCTTGCAGGGTGGTCTAATCCCCCTGACTAAATTAGTGCAGACGGGCTTTAAAGCTCCTTATACGTGATAAGTTCTAATCACTGGACGTCAATTTTTCTACCCTTCTTTTCCAACAAAGACCCAGTTCCTCCCCCCCCCCCCCCTGGAATATGACTTTGGGTATATGCCCCATGCATTAGACATCCCACTAATTAACCTAAAAAGGAAGGGAGAGAGAAAGCGAGAGGGAGAGAGAGAGAGAGAGAGAGAGAGAGGGAGGGAGGGGGAATGGGGTGTACTGAAGGGGTTTCCATGTATTTAACAATCTTTAGCCTTCAAAAGCTCCCCCCCCCCCCCCCAATCTAATTACCTGTCAATAATATTGACTTTAGCATGCAAAAATTTCCAGTTTTAGTTTTAAAGAAATTAATATCGTTTATTCCGTTTGGTCTAAATTTTGGCTAAATTTTACAATTTAGAGGACCGTGTTTCAAGGACCGACTACGAGGCCGGTGCTCAACGAAACCCACAATCGACGAGACCAAAGAACAATTAGATTGAAAATTTGAAAAATGTACATATTGACTTATCTACAAGTCTGAGAGACAAAATCTGTGGTCCTATTTTGACTAGTTGTGTGAAATTTCAATTTTACTGGTTTAATCTTGGTCCACGAACCATACACTATCTGTCCAGCTTTCATTCAAATCCATGATCCTCCCTTGTTACTGTTCTGCAGCAATACACTATGCATCATTATTCACTCAACGATGAGAGTCGAGAGTTAGACAGAGCAACAATACCGTCCTTACCATAACCAAAGGGCAGCGGTTCAAGCTTCTTGTTGAACTGTCCCTCTGCGTCTAGGAATCTCTCAGGTTTAAAATCTTGAGGATCTTTCCAAAGGTTCGGACTGAGTGCCAGGTACCACAGATCGGTCGTGATCGCGCTTCCCTTTGTGACATCGTACCCTCCAAGCTTGCAATCACGTGATGCTATGTGGGGGATGTGGATAGCGGCAGCGGGACGGAGTCTCGTACACTCCGCCAACGTCGCTTCCGTGATCGGCATGGAGCGACGATCCGAGAAACGTGGGAACCTGTCACTGCCGACGACATCGAGGATCTCCTGACGAACTCGACGTTGAGCTTCAGGATGAGCGGCCAGAGTGAAAGTCATCCAGGAGATAGCGGTGGTCGATGTCTCCCAGCCGCCCATGAGCGCGTCGAAGCTACTAGTAAGTAGATTGATGTCATCAAATGTTCCCGGATCATTCTAAAAGCAATGTGACGAAAAATAAATCATTCTGGCAATTTACAACATTTTGCGTTTCCGTTCATTAATCAAAATTGTGTTTAGGTAGTAGTTGCTGCCTTATTGGTGTTAGGTCGTTCATTGTTAATCATTGCTTTCGAAATACCATACGCCTAATGCCGAATAGTCTATAACTTTTAGGAAATTATGTTTTCTCTCTCTCCTTTTTTTCTTTCTAATTAAATATCGAAATAACTATCTTAAAGCCCGTCTGCACTAGTTTGGCCAGGGGGAATTAGACTTCCCTGCAAGGTCACTGACATGTGGTTATCTCATCAAATCAGCTCTCGATTAACATAAGAAGAAGAGGATCATGGGGGACCAACAGGTACCGATTAGGCATTGTTTGCTATATAGAGGGCGCAAGTAGCTATAATTAGTACAGTGGGGCTTTAATATACCTCTTCCTTCCGTCGGTGCATCTCTTTCAAGTAACATGAGATGAAATCCCTCGCCGGTTCTTCCGGATCAAACTCGGTTTTGTGAATTTCGATCGATTTCCTGACCATTTTGAGAATCTCTAAACTGAGGTTTGTGATCTCTGTCTTGACCGGTGAGGGGATCTTTGCGAGGATTGGAATCAGAGTGAATAGTCCGGCCGGACCCATGATTTGAAAGATGCGATCCGAGCAGTCGATGAGGTGCTGGAAGTCCTTGTCTTCGTGGTCGTAGTTGACACCGGTGACGAGCCGGGTGATGATGTTAGCGACGCCGACGTTGATCGCGTTGCAGGGGTCGAAGCTCTCGCCGTCTTTCTTTTCTACCTCCTTCAAGAATCTTTCGACCTCCGAGCCGATGATTTCTTCAAATCTGACAGATGAGCAAAGAAAATAATGCACCATTTTATTAGATATAGCCCAGGGCCCCGTCTTATAAAGAGTTACGATCGATCCGAACCAATCGCAAGTTCTCCAACCAATCACAAGTTGCAGTCCCCTTTCTACATAGTTACGATTGATTGATATCAATCGCAAATAGGTTTATACTGTTTATAAGATGGGACCCATGTTGAGAGACAGGGCCGTGATAACTACATGTGTATACAAATGATATTGTAATGATTGAGACCCCATGGATTTAACTGATGTCTCGTAAGAGAATTAAAAGCAGTGTATTTAGCCTCTTTGATTTGGCCCGTTTTGAGGCTTGCGGTTTCTAAAGTAAGACATAATATTATTGAAAATAGGATCAGTGATGTCACGAAATGACGTAATTTTCCAGTCAGATAACTGAAGGAAATTTACCGTTGTACCATAACGGAAGACCGAGCATGTATAAAAGTATATGAACATTGTTTATCTTTTCTTCATAATAAGTTTCAATTTAATTCAATTACGTTATTTAATAAACACGAGACTATTATCATTGTTATAACTTCCGGAGCCTATGACCTACAAGCATTGCTTTCTCTTTAGGCTCCATCATATTCTTTTTGTTTGTATAAATGCATCCAAAAATGAATACAAAAATGTAACATGCCAAATGTAATGATGTATTATACAACATGTGAAATATGAAAATAAACTGAAACTGAAACTGAACTGAAATGTAACTTTGCTATCTCCAAAAAAAGCAACTCATTTGTTGCAAGCTAGTCAGTGGCATGTTCGTAAGCATGCATGCGGGACGGAGTGAAATAGTGAGACTTAAGAAAATAATTTGAACATTGATTGGTTAACAGCAAGTCACGTGATCAATAAAAATCATATCTATGCAAGACAAGTAAATGACAGAACTTAGGGAAGAAATCGAAAAGGGGGAAGGGAACACAAAAAGGGAGCTAACTTGATCACCCCCCCCCCCTCCCCGCTCTTGTGTTTCATCCACATCTCTGACTTGGCAAAAAATAGGCCCTATATTCCCTACAATATAATTCTTAAATGGAAATGTTAAAAAAAACATGTTCGTAAAGACTACCTTGAAATAAACACAATGGCAATAAATATTCCTAAAATATTATGGTATACTGCCAAAATAAATAATTATATAATATTGAATGGCTTTGAGTGTGATACAAAAATATATTGCTTGAGCAAGGACAATATTGAACGAGTCGGAAACGAGTCCAATATTTTTATAGCGAGAGCAATATATTATTGCACACGAAAAAAAAGCCATATAATATTATTATTGTCTATACCAGGCTGACTAGCGAAATAAAATTTGACTAAAATTTGGCTTTTGTGTGTTTGATATCGAAAGTTCAAATTCCCGGATGACTGAGTAATACAAAAACAATATTGGTCAGTCATCCGGGTACTGCGGTAAAGATATTGAATACACTGATTTATTGTAACACTTGAAAGCCTGATATAGATAATAATCTAAAATACCTATTTCATACGTAAAATCGAGTTTTAATACGCAATACGTCATTCTAATGTTCTCGCATTTCAATAGGTTATGGACATGGCTATTGAATTGTTCAACGTATCTGTGTAATCATATTATCGCTAATTTTGACGAACTGCGAGCCGGACTGCGAGAGGTAAATCGAAAGTCTCTTTTACCTTATTACACCCGAATCGATCTTCTTGAAAACTGTCAGAAAGAAGCGACGATGTTCCTTCCATACTTCACCCACTGAGGCCACTAAGCCTGAAAAAATGGAAATAAAATAAAAGAATAATCATAACATTATGATAGTCCTATTCCTATTGATTAGGAAAAGTATGTTGAGTGCTTGGAATAATATAAACTCTGCTAGAAGTGCATTGTCTCATAAAAAGCTTTTTAAACGATCTAATTTTATATTCGCACATTTCATCAGGTGATAAAGCAAGACAATTAAAAGAGATTGGCCTCGACGCGTCATAACTGCACATAAACATAGGTTTGTCGACAAACCTCCTTTGTGAATTCGGGCCTTTAGGTTTATCTTTCGAAAGTCCGTTGCAAACTTTTTTTTTTTAGTTGAACCGGTTGACGGAAACATGGTTGTGCTAAACAATCACCGTCTAACGATATGACTAATACAGATTTACCAACATATTCAAATTGTATGCCTACTTTAAAAAAAGAAAGTTGTTTTAAAGAACCCTAAAGTTTAAAAGTAAACCTAACCCTAACCCTAAAGTTTCAAAGTAAACCTAACCCTTACCTTAACCCTAACATTATTTTGTAACTATTCTGTTTCCTGGCTTTTTTCTACTTCGGGCAGAAACCGGAGAATTACCAACAGATGCTCACCGTTATTAGGTCTGCCCGTAATTTCATCTGCAATAGCCATAGACATCCTGTCATTGATATCAGGACTTGAGTGAAAGGCATCCGAAACTAGACCAGGATCGGTTAGAACATAGACCCTGGTCCCGAGCATTTTGAATGCGAAGATGGGTCCATACTTATGACTCCATTCGTTGACCACTTCGTGCTGCTGTCGTTTCGTGAGGAGCAAACTAAACACACTTCCAAATACAGGTAGACCCGTCGGACCAGGGGGATATTTCTTCCCCCCTTGGTAGAAGACCTGGTAGATCAGGTACAGCAGGATTGTTATTCCACCAACAACCAGTGCAGGGGAGCCCACTGATTGCACTACTACAGATAGGACGCTCACGATCCCCGCCATCTTTAGATCGCTTCCCTTAGATAATGAACAATACAGATTGTCAATGCATTTATTAGTTTATTCGTGCGAAAGTAGCAGGAGTGCCAGGAAAGCAGCACAGTGAGTTATCATACACCGAAGTCCAAAGGTCGAGTTGCCTATTCGACCTAGCTGATTCAGATATAATTCTGTAATGAAATAATTGTCAAAAAATAACCACAGAGATAAAAGATAATCAACAAAATAAATGAATATGCATATCGCAAGTAAACACGTACACATCGCTTCACTGGGCAATCTAAATCGACTTTTTTATGGTCAGTTGACTCAGTCAAACTGTCAATGAAATTATGAACATAATATAAAGTTTTTTTCCGTTTAAGTTTTTTTTTTTTATTAATTGTGATCCCAAGTTGTCTCTGAAGAATTATTTACAGCTTTGTCGCCCAAAAAGTAACTTTTATTGTTTTCATAGTTTCCATAGGCCTAAATCCGGCGATATGTATGGGCATATTAAAGCAGCACAATCGCTGGCAGTGTTGTCATTCTTGTGCAATGAAAATATGTGATTGCAATACAATTTCCAGATATAATCCTATTAGTTGCATCACAAGTTGCATGACATATTAAAGGTAAAGACCAGTATTGGAAACGCCCCAATTTCAAAAAATGAAATGGAAGCTCTCATTGCCAATCATGTGAAAGAATATGACTTGTGTTGACTAATACATGATGATAAAAAATTTGCCGGGAAACCGCCTACTAATTCATATATTTGGTAAATGTGTTTCTCTCATGGTCTGTGAGAGATATAGGGTAGTCCCATATACATCTTTCTGTGTATAGTGCTTGTAACTTTACGAAGAATGGGCCAAATTTCTTATCATTTTGATGATTCCAGAACCTTGCAGATGCTAGATGCTAGATGCTAGATCATCAACCTTTTCTGATCAATTCCACAACGTTTCTTTCACAATGCAATCGCATGACCATAACTGGTCTTTACCTTTAAACATGAATAGCATGTTGGATTTTGATATGCAACTCTTACAGATTGCTAAATGATGTCCCTTGGGAAACAACGTTGAAACTTCATTTGACACATGAAATCAACAAAATCCCTGTGGAGGGAAAAATATGGAAAAAAAATAACAACAACGTTGAAACTGTTCTCTATAAATCAAGAAAAACTTAACATTGAGAGAAACATGTCAGTGAAAGTTTGAGCAAAATCCGATTAAAAATCAGAAAGTTATGAAATTTTGATTTTGCGATTGATCAGACACAAATTGGCAACTCTGTGGCGTATCAAGTGAGCTTCCCTCACCCTATTTTGTCCTTTATCAAAACAAAAATCAGAAATGTCTAGTTTCCCTAAAGAATTTTTAAAATCATACATGCACCCTAAATAAAGTCATTGCAAGCTTGTTTCTATACGACCCCTGTGCGGAACAAAATAATCATTATTCCGTCATCAATTAGAAATAATAGAGAGAACCATTAGTGAAAGTTTGAGCAATATCCGATTACAAATAGGAAATTCTTGATTTGTAATCAGTGAAACACAAATATCAGGTGGACTAGTTTCTCCTTTAATATTATCTGATAAGCCTGTTGATGCAAAATCATATGCCTATTACATTCAAATGGGTGTCACATGCTTGCGACCTAATGCCAAATTCATCCTCATCATCCTTTGATATCATTAATGTTTGCTGCCAAAATATTCAATGATGATTGTTTGCCAACAAAGAACGGCTAGCGCGTGACTACATTGTAAATTACGGCATGATCTCTGACTTAAAATTCAGACGCACTTTCATGATAATTGACACGATTGATAAGGTTATCCTGATCCATAATATCTCATTATTTATCCGTTTAAATTCTAAGACAGCTGTAATGGGATTAATTCATTGACTAATTGCATGTTGCTATACATCCGGATTAGTCAGAGCGGGAACTAAAGAAATGATCAAGTCTAGACGGTCTAGTTACTAATACCAAGTTTTAATTGATATGATCGAAGATTAAGAGAGCAATTGAAGGCCGATAATCTCCGAAGAATACATTCAGTTGTTTGAACAATAAGACATAATCGGTACTGTCTACCTTATAGAAATTCACTATTAAAACCTTTAATTGATATGATCGCAGATTAAGAGAACAATACGACATCATCTGTTATTGATACCTCATAGAAATTCGCACTGTAGATCTGTTAGACACTTCCTTTGACAACACCGGAGTGTTGGCTCAGTCAGTAGAGCGTCCGCCTCACAACCGGGAGGTCGTGGGTTCGAACCCCGGCCGCGTCATACCAAAAGACATTAAAAGATGGGAGTTGTTGCTAGCTTGTTTGGCGTTCAACAATAAGGGATAGAGCAACGTCGATCTGGCGCTGCTCAGTGGCTGCCGGGCTCACGATCAATTGGGCAAAAAGAATTTCCGTTTCGGTTTAATAAAATTTGGAGTGGACTATTTAGGCTATTATTATTATTATTATTATTATTATCAATCTATTCAAAGATTAAACTTGAGTTTGGTCGCGCGATTGTGTTGTGAAATAAACTGCGTGGATGCGATTGGAAAATGTTGTTGATCATAACTGTAGTAAATAAGTATTGATGCATACGGTGAGGTTTTTGTAATTATGAAAATGATAACAAAATCAGCCCAGTTCTGCTAAAAGTCAAATGCACTGTTATTTTAATCATACATGTATATGGGACTACACAAACATGTGGCATGGAAGTTGTGGCCCACAACCTTTAGCAGTTTCTTGCAAAACTTTGAATTTGAGGGCATTTGAAGAGCCATGCTTTTCAAGGGACCTTTTTTTCTAAGATATACACATTTCTATATACAGTAAGAGTTCATTTGACTTTAAGCAAAACTGGGCCATTTTCTCATCACTATGATGGTAGAAAAACCTCACAGTATAGACAAATACTTATCTCCTACATAATGAACCTTTTCCAATCGCAACAACACAGTTTCTTTCACAAAGCAATCGCATGACCAGAACTCAACTTTATCTTTACGTACATTGATGTCGAAGGGAGTGTCTATAAAAGGTCTAAAGAGTGAATTTCTATGAGGTATCAATAACCGATTATGTCGTATTGTTCAAGCAACTGAATGTATTCTTCGATGATTATCGGGCTTCAATTATTCTCTTAATCTGCGATCATATCAATTAAAACTTGGTATTAGTAACTAGACCGTCTAGACGGGATTATTTCTTTAGTTCCCGCTCTGATTAATCTGAATGTATAGCAACATTCAATTAATCAATGAATGAATCCCATTAGAACCATCTTTGAATTTAAACAGATAAATGATGAGATATTATGGATCAAAACAACCTTATCAATCGTGTCAAATACAATACAATGTAATTACGTCTGAATTTTAAGATAGAGATCATCGTATTAAACAATTTATTCCCGCTCTAGCCGTTCTTTGTTGGCAACCATATTATCACTGTAATACAATGTCTTCTTTTTATCTAATTTTCTCCTTCGAGTCAATGATCAAACGAAGTACTACTGGGTTGATTGTCCTAGAGTGCCCGCCCTCCTCAATGACCCAAGCCCTCGATTCCGTCAATAATCTTCTGTATTTAGTAGCTGACGGAATCAATGGTGTAGCCTGAGCATGAGGAGGGCGGGCACTTGATGGGGGCGCTGGTCTCACTCGGAATAATATGAGATTTACAACCCTTCTACTTTGTACGACACCTCTTATCGGGGGGGGGGGGGGTGAGAGGGGTCATATCGCCCTCTTTTCCGTTTTCCCTACCCATTCCCATTCTCTCGTTCCTTTACTTTCTTTTTATCCTTTCATTATTTTTCGTTTTTTCTTCGCCATTCTTCTTTCTTCTTCTCTCCTTCTGATTACCGTCGGCACGCGACAATCGCGCGCTGGTAATCGATATCATCGATCTCAGCAACTTCTTTTCGCGCGCGAAATGTTCTTTGTATTACCAATCTCGCCCTACCTCTTAGATATTACTTATCCCAGTAGGCTTACTAACAAAGTTGGTAACTTATAAAAATTGATCTTTATTATCTGTCAGAGAGTTTTGGCTCAGCCACTGCTAAAATGCCTTTTATTGTTTGGTGAAAATGTGACTTTAAGTGGTTGGCTTAAAGTGTAGCAATCAGCAATCGTTTGTTCCCATCCTCTCCCCCATCAATAACATTTTTTAAGAGAAGGGGAAAATGGAAAGAAAAGAAATAAAAGAAGAAAGAAAAATTACAGAAAGACAAAATAGTGATTCCTGTTCACGTCTTTAATATTACCCTGCCACTTAACTCTGTCAAATATTTAATTCAAGAAGAGAATTAGCATGTACCATTAACTGACTAAACCTTTCTTTGGGGTTCTTTTGGTGATCTGAACACATTCTAGTACAGAGCAAATCCGAATCAACGACTTTATCAGTCAATGGTATATACTCTTCATGAAACCAATGGAATTATTACAAAATGAAATGGCAGAGTAACAGGAAAGACGTAAAAAAGGAATCCCTTTTTTTGTCTTTCTGTATTTTCTTTCTTCTTTCATTTTTTTTCTTCATTTGCCCCTTCTACTCTTTTAGTGTTTCTGTTTTTTCCTTCTATTGATGGGAGAGGGAGGGGGAACAGATATATTAATGATTGCTACACTTTAAGCCACCCACGTAAAGTCACATAATACAATTTTTCACCGGTCAGTAAAAGGCATTTTCACAGTGGTTGAGCCAGGACTCTCCGACAGGAAAAAGATAATGTTCATTAGTTACCAACCATGTTAGTAAAGCAGGGCTCCCACTTAGCCGAGTTGGAACCTCGAGTTGTGGCGAGCTGGCGTGATCTTATGGCAAGCAGTTTGATCATTAAAGATAAACTTGAGTTCTGGTAATGCGATTGCATTGTGAAAGAAAAGATGTGGAATGGATCAGAAAAGTTATTCATATAGCATGTAAGTAATGGTGTGTAATGCAAGGTTCTGGAGTCATCAAAATCATCATAATTTGGGCCCGGTCTTGGTAAAGTAACAATCACTTACACAGAAAGATGTATATGGGACAACACACATGGTGTCGGGGCTATAGAACTACCCTGATTTCCTTATCTTTCTACGCTCATAACTCAGCCAGTATACATTTTCTTCCAAAATTGTTTGTCACATGACATTTATTTGTAATCTTGAACATTTAGTGTAAGTTTCGTTAGATTCTGTGAGAATTCATTTTCTTTTTTTTACCAAAACTCAAGTTTATCTTTAATACATATTTCTTGATATCACGAAATTGAATTCCTGATATCACGAAATCGAATTCTTGATATCAAGAGTTACCATTGCTTTACAACGTAAAATTATTTCTTGATATCAAGAATTGATTTATTGATATCAATTAATAATAAAACGGCCTGTCATAAGATCGCGCCAGCTCGCCACGACTCAAGGTTCCCATTCGGCTAAGTGGGAGCCCTGCTTAAGT